AAAATCTAAAAGTTAAAAATTATTATAAAAAAAAAAATCAAAAAGTTCATACTATTTGAGAGAAGCTTGTGGGCGAAGCTTAGAGGGTAAAATTATTATTTTGCCCTTTTGAGAGGATAATTTATATGAAATTAGGCCGAGCTGGGCAATGGGCTGTTATGAGCCACAGTGCGAAGGGCTGAATAAAAAGGTCATGAAGTTACTCCGGCCCAAGAGAGGTGTAAAGTTACCCTGGTCTACGAGAGATCTGAAGTTTACTCCGGTCCCAAAGAGCTTACGGAAAGTTCGGTCGACACTCACTAAGTTATCCCAGTTTGGACCGGAGTATTGGTTATTCCGATCTAAACATACCGTGGTTAGCATTAAGAAGAGCCAAGGTAAGAGCAGTGAATGGAAGAGCCGAGCTAATGTTATCTCGGTCTAGTCTGTGACTCAGCATAGCCATGCTTACCTCGGTCATGTTGAAGTCTGACCACGGTAGAACCATCTCACTTGGTTTATGCAGTGAGGGGGGTGTTGAAGGATAAGCATTATCTTTCAGGAGTATGAATCCTAGGAGGACTCTACATGGAGGAGTAAAAGTCCTACTAGGATTGTGCCACGCGGAACCTATAAAAGCTTACAACATCACTGTAATAACCCTCACCACTGATTACCGTTAAACATTGATGACTGATAACTTAACTGATTATGACTGATAAATGAACTGATTAAAGTACTGAAACGACTGACTGAAAACTGGAACCGAAGTGATTGAGTACATCTGTTTGAATTGCATTCTATCTGTTGATTGTTTCTTTAATCTGTTCATGCTTATATGTTTAAACTGCTAATTGAAGGCCTTATCGGCGGCCGAATTAGAAATTGATTAATGTTTTAGGACCCTCATAATTAATGTGATTTTATGGCATAATTATCTGAAATTTGATTAGGTATGATTAAATTAGATTAAATAATGAGTTAATTGCAGAGTTGACTTATTTACCGTTTCGCCACTTAGTGGCCACCACTTCACACCTCTTGAGCCTTATTACACTCCACGTGCTTGATCAAAACAAACTTTTCTTCTCCCATTCTTGCACTCAACCGACCCAAGAGGAGAGTTAGAGAGAGAGAGAATTGTTCTAGAGAATTGGCTTGAAAGGCTTGAAGAGATCATAGGAGATTTGCCTAATTGGACTCCTAAACCTTGAATACAAGCTCTAGGTAAGGATTTTATCTTCTCATTCTTGTGTTTGAACTGGTTCTTGCATGGTTCATGTCTAGTTGTAGAGCTAAGTCATGAATTGGTCCATTAATGGTGAATTGAAGCTCAATCTTTGCATGCATGTTAGTATTGTTGGATTTTGAGTTGAGTTCATGGCAAAAGGTTACATGCATGTTCATAATCATGTTTAAGTCCATGATTTCACCATTTTCTAGATGATATAATTGGGTAGTGCTCGGTTTCAAATCTCCCTTTTGGGATTCCATTTTGTATTTGTTGCATCATCTTGATGCTTTTCTAATAAATTGCTTTATTTATCAAAAAAAGCAAAGAAAAAAGAAGCTTATGACGGTCTTTATTCTAGATTAGATGGAAGGATGGAGTAAAAAACATTTACAAACTTTCTAAATTGAGAGAAAAATAGGTAAATTTTTAAAATTGGGCTCAGTGTATTAGAAGTGAGGATTCGATGATGTTAATGAAGAATGAGGAGATTAAGGAAAGGTGAAAAAGTTATTTTGAGAAATTGTTAAGTGGAAAATGATTAGAAAGCTTAGGATGAGAGGGTTAGCTAAAGTATTAAGACCAGATTGTAGATCTATTGAGGCATGGAAATATTTAGCTAAAGAGGGGGTGTTTTGGTTAACAAGATTATTTAATAAGATTTAATGATTAGGAAAATGTTTGACAAGTTGAGAAAAAGTATTTTAGTACCTATATAAAAATAAATAAAAAGATATCCAAAATTGCCCAACTATATAGGCATTAAGTTGGTGAGTCATACAATGAAATTGTGGGAGAGAGGGATTCAACCTATCTTCATGGATACTCTAAAAAAGGTCACGTACGCGTATCGGATACTTTTCGGATATGGATATGCGTTCGATACGGCCGGATACGTAGCGGATACAACTGACGAGTATTCGAAAATTATTTATTATTTTTTCAATTTTGGATATGTCTCGAACACGGGAAATATACGTCTCGGATATGGGATGGATATGTTCAAGATACGGGAAGGATACGTTCGGGATACGACAAGGGCCAAAAACATAATTTTCTTATAGATTTTAGTAGGGGTCAAATTGGAAAATTATAAAGTTTAATGCAAGTAAAAAATACCAAGCACTTATGGAATGATTACAAGAAGGAAAATTGAAGGAACCTTAGCCTCTATAAAGATACAAATAAATAAATAAAATGAAAAAGCACCATTGATCTCCAAAGGTTGATCCTGTCTCTCTCTCTTTTTTTTTTTTTTCCCTTTCTTTCTTTCTTTCTTTCTTTCTTCACAAAAATACCTCTATGCCACTCTCTCATAAAGAGCAACAAGCAAAAATTGAGATTAATATTCTAAATTAATATAATTTTTTTTATTAGTTTGCTTTAGGAATTGGTATTTTCAAAATCAACGTTTGATATTAACTAAATGAATGAACTCATGTTTTTTATTTTATTTTATGCATACTATATTATTAAAAATTACAAAAATATGTTTTTACAAACGTATTTCTACCGTACCCGTATCCTACTATTTTAGATTTTGTCATATCGCTGTATCCGTATTCGTATCGTATCTGATCTGTGCTTCCTTGGATTCAACATCACTTGTTTTGTAAGAGTTACAAAAATGCATCCTTAGATTTTGTAAGACTTACTACTTACAAAAGTGAAAAAATTAGCTTGGATTTATGCTCGGTAGATCAAATATAATAGTGATATATCTACTAAAATTACTAGAGAAGTACATAAAGAAGAGAAGAGATGCATGTGGTTTTTACCTATGTTATATAGACGCGGATATGAGTATTGGGTGCGAATGCGTGTCCAAGTGTCACATCTTTCTAAACCTAAATCTTAGGGTATTAAGATATGCATTCAAAAGTTGAATATGGATACTAGGACACGTCATAAACACATATATTGTTTATATGGTATAATATTTTTAGATAAGATGTTGTAAATTATTTAGAAATGTACTTTAATTAAATGAAATTTAAGAAAACTATGAAATTTATGCCTCCCATTCATTTGAAATTTATGTCTCCCATTCATTAGAGGATCCAAATGTCTAAATTGGGTATATGTGTCAAACACATATCTCACATCTGTACCCCTGTCATGCTTGGTGGACATAGGTACATTGGGCGAAATGAAAGAGTATATGTTACACAAGTTTCTATAGATTTATAAAAACTTTCGATAGGATGCTTAGAGATATAATATGGGTGATAGAGAAAAAGTGTGTGACTGAAGGATTTATTGATGTGATAAAGAGCATGTATGATGAAGTTGTGACTAAAATTAGATTACCTATAGGTGAGACTAGTGAACTGTATCAAGAGTTAACTTTGAGTTTTTACCTATTTGCCTTCTTATTCATGGATGCATTAATTAAATACATTTACGATGATATCCTATGGTACTTGTTGTTTGCAAATGAATCATTTAAGTGGACGAAAAACTAAGGGATGAATTGACACTAATATAGAAATTTGCATAGAAGCACTTGAGTAAAAAATATTTGAAGTTAGTAGAACTAACTTTAGTAGCAATAGAAGTAGAAATAATGGCAAAGTGATGATTGAAAATCAGGAGATAACAAAGAGTGAACATTTTCATTACTCAAGTTTGATTACTAGCAAGGATGGATAGGTTGGAGATACATATCCACTGAATCAAAGTAGGTTGACTCTAGTGCACAAGTGCTTCTGGCATATTATGTGATCTACTAATACCAACAACATTGTAAGAAACATTTTATAGAACTATAGCCTATAATTCCAATGATGCTTTATGAGGCATAATGTTGGTCAATTAAGAAACAACCTTCACAAAATGAGTGTAGTTGAGAATCGAGATGAGGATGCTTAGATGTATATTCTGTGAGACTAGGAAATACATAATAGAAATGGAAATATTCATGAAATGGTAGGAGTAGCATGAACTGAAGATGAGTTGACTGAGAACAAATTATTATTAGGACAAGTCTTTTTATTTGTTGCACTGGTGAGGTTCTGGAATCCCATGTATTTGGAGTCATGATTCTTATGTAATAGGGTAATTTAGATTAAATAGTAATGCATGTATGAATTGTGTTAAATATAGAGAGTCATAAAAGGTTCATGATTGTGCTATTATTCTACAGCTTCTTGAAGTTTTGTGCATGGTATATGGTCTATGTTGTAAACTACACTAATCAATGTTTGCACACAAAATAATATAAAACAAAATAAACATTGTATATACCAGAATACCAGGAGTTTCAGTATCCTACATGTGTCCAAATTTGTGTCTAACATGGGTGTTTCCCTTATTTAGAGTTAGAGGTTGATGCAGTATACTTCTTTACCAATTCTAGTTAAGTGATATTTGATTTCATATCTTGGCATTTACAAGGTTTGCTGAAATTCTGAATGCTAAGAGTGGTCCTGGAATTGAGAACCTTGCCCACCTGATCAAAAGTAAAAAAGAATTAGTAATTTTTTACTGTGCTTTAATCTCCTAGTCTTTTGTTATTGCCTGGATGCATATTTTTGGAAAGGTTACCTGTAGTAGTTTTAGGACATTTTACTCTTATATTTGTGAAGAATCAGGTACCTTCAATGGCAGGACAGAAGAACCACTGTGATGAAGAATGGTTTCTTGTTCTTCTCCTTTCTCTCTCTGTGTATTTCTTTCTTTTTCTCTTTTTCCATCTTTCTTTCAATTAGATGTTATCTTTTGTACTATATTCCTTACTTCCACATGTGGATGCAACTCATTGACTGATTTATTCCCATGGGTTTTTGATATGTTCTGGTGTTGGTAGGGACACGTGCTGAAGCTTAAAGGAACTCTAATGCTCGCAAGCCCTGATGAAATAGCAGAGATACAAAAAATTAGGTTGAAAAGCTCTGAAAAAAGCAAGATGACCCGAGACCACAATGGTTTTCGAAAGCTGCTCATAGTACTTACTAGAGCGGGTAAACTTTTTGCTTTACACACAGGAGATGGACAAGTTGTCTGGTCTCGCTTATTGCATTCTCTTCGTAAATCTGAAGGATGTGACTATCCCAACGGGCTTAACATATATCAGTGGCAGATCCCACATCATCATGCGTTGGATGAGAATCCATCTGTTCTTGTAGTTGGCAGATGTGGATGTAGTTTGGATGCCCCTGGTGTCCTTTCAATTGTTGATGCATACACAGGGAAGGAGCTTAATCGTTTAGGTGCTGTTCATTCCGTCGTGCAAGTTATTCCACTGCCTTTTACTGATTCAACAGAACAGCGCCTTCATCTACTAATAGATGCTGACCAGCATGCCCATTTATACCCCAGAACTCATGAGGCACTTGGTATCTTCCAGCGTGAGTTTGCGAACATATACTGGTACTCAGTTGAAGCTGATAATGGCATTATAAGGGGTCATGTCTTGAAGGACAATTGTATTCTTGAGGTAGCAGATGAATACTGTTTTAGCACAAGAGATTTATGGTCCATTGTATTGCCATCTGAGTCAGAAAAGATTGTTGCAACTGTGACAAGAAAATCAAATGAGGTATCTTCCTTTTGCTTTCTCAGATATCCTAAGTTTTCAATCTGAACTTTTATTTTGTGGTTGTTGATAGTTTTATTTATTTATTTTTCCCTTGTATGCCTACTGCAATCAATTTTTGAAATGGTATGGACTTCTCACTTTGTAGTTACACTTCCAGCTGAGTTTAAGGCTGTGTTTGGGAATAGCGTTCTTGGCTAAAATCTCCAATAAAGACCAAAAAAAAAAAGAGGCTAAAATAGCCAATAAGACAATATGGGTTTTTTTTTGGGTATTTGAGAACGGTTGGATACCTTTCCAGGGTGAGGTAGAGTTTGACTTTTTTTTAACCATTGCCTTTCAGCTTCAACACCTAATGCTGCTCTAACATAACATGGTATAATCTACCTCGTTGATCTTAATTGATATAATATTTTCTACTATCCATCCCTCGTTATATTGACAACCCTTGTTGTTTAGTTATGTAATATATAGCATAGACACATACATTACACGATACAAGTACAACACAAACAAGGTAAAGACACAACAAGACCTTAGTATCATTCATATATCTTATCCATAAGGGTGAAATCCATTTTACCCCTTGTGGTATAGGCCAAGAGCCCTTTAACCCCCCCCCCCCCCCCCCCCCAACATAACTTTCATTTTATTTCTTTTATTATGTGGCTTTGGGTTAAATTGTAACTGTAACTCCGTTAACATTAGTGATACAATGACGATTATACCCTTTGTCTCACAAATTTCATGTATATAACATATTTATACACAAACATATTACATATATTCATATTTTATATTATTTTATTTTGTTGTTAGATATAAAAATTAACTTACAAAAGAATCTTTTAAAAGATTTGAGCTCTTAACCTTAAGCTTATAAACAAACACTCTACCCATTAAACTACCAATATCATTTGCATATAATTTTTATACAAATATATTTAATTTTATTAACTAAGGGGCTGTATGGATGGGCTTAGGATTATATGATTCCTTCTTGTGCGGGCTTGGGGTAGTCAACTCTCATACAAGATCGCTTGAAGCTCAACCTGCCTTGCAAATTTTGTATATAAAACATATTTACACACAGATATTACATATATCATATTTTATATTGTATTGCTTTGTTATAGATTGGCCTTGTTTGGGAAGTCGGCTATTTTATCTTGGCAAAATAGTTGGTTTTTTTTTTTTTTGATAGTTGTAAGAGAAAAAATGAAATGATTGTAGATTGGATGTGACATTTTGTCTTATTGGCTATTTTAGCCTATTTTGTCTTTATTGGCTATTTTAGCCAAAGAAGCTGAAAAAGCAACTTGCTAAACAGGGCCATTAAAAAGTAACTTACAAAAGTAGTAGTTAAAAGAATTGAGCTCTTAACCTTGAGCTTATAAGAAAACACTCTACCCATTATACTACCAATATCGATTGCATTTAATTTCTATACAAATATATTTATTTTTATTAGCTAATGGGCTGTATGAACGGGCTTGGGAATTTAATTTTGGCCTTGGGTTGGGCCGACTTGGGTTTGTACAATTTTTGTTATGAAAATGACACCCGATTTGAATCCAACCCAGTTCACCCATAATCGGGAATAATATTTTTATTCATTGGAAAGTCGGTAAATTTTGCACAAGTCTATGGTTGCTTTTGTTATATGTGCTCACATTTTTCAAGAGTCAACCATAAGTATCTATGACCCATATTATGTTACTTTTTAAAATAGAACCAACCCTGTCAATTTTTTTTTATGGTACATGAAGTCCTAGTGTATTCTTGGATTAGGTAGCTAATTTGAAGGATTATTTTGAATGGCATAGTGTGTTAAAACTCACTTTGCATTCGTTTTGCTGCAATGAAATTGAAGGGTTCAGCCAAGCAATTTGGCAAGATGTCCTAAGGAGTGTAATTGATTTAGGAAGGCCACACATTACTTTGTGGACTGAAATGGAATGGATATTGAAAACAAAGGATGTGTCATTTTCGTACAAGAGTCAATTTTATATCTAATGGCTCAATCTTACACAACAAATTGCTAGTGTATCTGACTATTGTACACAATTCGAGTATCTTAAGGACATATGGGACTTTGGTACTCAACCTTTGATTATTTTTGAATAAATTCTTCTTGGGTTGGGACTAGAAATTAGTGGGCAAATATTGATCTCATATAGCAGTTTAGCAGAGGCCTATGAGGATGCCTTAGTGGTTGTTGAATGTTATCTAGTTGGAGAGATTACACAATCAGTTGTTTGTATATGTTTTCCTTCCTTAGAAGTGGCCATAACATCTGAGTTGATGATTGAGTCCTCATCTATAGAAGCTAATGTGATCCAAGAATCCTTAAATGGGACACTTGAGGCACCACATGTTAAATCCATAACCCTGCAGTTTCTTGTAAGTCTGTTTCATCTTATATGGCTGAGTTTGTAGTGGCTCTTTCTCTGATGTTGAGAGTTCACTTGAAATTATATTTCACTATTCACTTCCTAAGTTGGTTATCATGTTTCTTTGTCTAATATTAATAGTTTGGATGTTCTCTACTACTTTAAGCATTAGGGCATTACTATCATCCCTTTGCATCAAGTTCCTTCTCCATTCAATCATTTCCCTTTGAATTTAAATTCATGTTTTTGTTGATTTTCTATAAATTTAAATATTCATCCAATATGTCACTTGATTGGGGCACCTCAGACCAATATTAAATTTAAGTATTGGTCCAGCACCTGTTCTTCTAGTTACTTTATTTCAGTCAGTTTATTGGAAACCTGATTATTGATGTTATAGAGAGTCGGGTCATTGTTTTCTTACATGGGGTTTGTCGGTCTTAGCTTGGTGAGGAAGTACTTTACTGTTCACATGCTATTGTGGTTGAGGAAGTATTCTAATGTTCATATTTTACTGATGCTATTTGGGTCATAGTTTTCTTACATGGGTTTGTCAGTACTTCTGTTCATTTTTTGAAGTAATTTTGCTATCATCACTCTCAGGATGAGAGATTTTCTCAGCCGAGGAGAAATGATGGGGATCATAAGGGGATTGGTTGAAGAGTAAGGCCTCGTTTGGGAACATGCTATTTTAATAACTTTTTCACTTTTTGGCTAAAATATGACCCCAAAAAAAAACTAATTTATTTGGGATGAATTTTTTGACTTTTTAGCTAAAATTATGATAATAAATAATATAAAAATGGGTAAATTGACAACCCTTGTCATAACCCGTGACAGTATGATGGCACAACACTGTGCAGACTAGCAGCCATCATGTCATGTTTGTAACTTGTGTTCAATATTATTTTTTATTTTTTGAAAATTGACTTGGATTTGAAAATTTCTAAAAACATGTTTGGTTACAAATTTCCTCAAAAAAATTTTAAAATTACTTCTCTCTCTATTATACGTCACTTTTTCTCTCTTCCCTCCCTTTCTCAATCACTTTTTCTCTCATACACATTTACTCAACTATAACAAAATATCAATCATCCCAAACTCCGAAACTTCAAAACTATTTTTAAAATATACAACCAAACAAATCAAAAAAATTTCTAAATTCTCTCCCTAAACTTTTTTTAAAAAATTTATCTCAAAACACAAATCAAATACTCCCAAGACTTCCAATAAATTTTTTCCACACAATCACAGTGAACAATTTTTGATGGCTGCCTAGTACACGAAAAGGTGTGAAACAAAAAACCAATTTGGCTGCCTAGTACACTAGCTACTGTGCATAGGTTTGTAAGATAAAAATTGTAGGCTTTTTAGTTTTTTTAGTGACTTTTTGGCTTTTAAGCTAAAATAGACATTTGCCAAATGAGGCCTAAATTGAATTTTTTGGAATTCTAATTTATTTACAATGTTGAATTTGTTTAGAATTTTATTTCGTATTCTACAATTGTTTCCTTATTGGATTGACCCCTTAATTTGTCTGCCTATATATAAGACTTGATGTAATGAATTCAGTCAGATAAGATTTGATTGAATTGAATTGAAAGAATTACCTCTCTCTCCCATTCTTCTCTTTTCATTCCCTTCGTAATTTCTTCTGTTACCCTCTATTTCTTCCCCTTCTCTACTGCCTCCTTATTCCTCACTGTACTCACCAGTTTTTATCTTTATTACTATATTCTTTTCTGTGCTTTTGATGTAGTCTTTTTAAAAATGTTTCATGATATATTTGGGGTGTGTGAGTTGTATTACTAACAATGCAGAAGACTGTTCTATTGAGAGATTCACCACATAGGTCATGTTGAGGTAGTGTTTGATTGGTGTAGTCAAAGTTTGGAAGACATGAAATTTCATTTTGTAATTATGGCATATTGAGGAAGTGTCGAACATGTTTCTAGGATTGTCCAAGAAGTGTTGGACTTTGACATGTGGGCAACATGTACATTCACTTGATTCTTCCCTACTACTTGGATTATGAAAATTCTGATAAATATTTTCTCTTGAATGCTGATCCTGCTCGAAACACAAGCATAGGACTGCCATATGTGTCTAATTACAAATCATTTAATTTAGACCTTGTCTCTGCACTAGCACAGCGCTACAAATTTCTTGTCTACGAGACTTTGGGGCTTCCACTGGCATGATCTTGGCATGATTGTATTATGCTTTAAGTGTTACACTTGATTATGAGATTGTTAAACGGAATATTGTCACTCCATATGACTTGTATGTAGTATTTGTAAATTGCAATCATTTAGATGAAGTGTGTTGCATTCCTGTGACCTTCTACTATCTCTAATCCGGATGTTTCTTGTTCTTATTAGTATATTCTGGTTGTGGTGATTCATTTATGTAACTGTAAAAATCCTTTCATTTCTTATGTTCTTTAGGTGGTTCATACTCAAGCAAAGGTTATGGCTGAACATGATGTGATGTATAAATATGTATCGAAAAATCTGCTTTTTGTGGCTACTGTTGCACCCAAAGCCATTGGCGGAATTGGTTTGGTAACCCCAGAGGAGTCATGGCTGATTGTATATCTTATTGATACTGTGACTGGACGTATTCTGCACCGCATGACTCATCATGGTTCTCAGGGTCCTGTCCATGCCGTAAGTATGGTTTTTCTTGTTCGACTTCATCTTTTTCATGGATAGACCATATTTAAATTATGCATTTTTTTTCTCTGAAGGTTTTTAGTGAGAATTGGGTTGTCTACCACCACTTCAATCTAAAAGCACACAGATATGAGATGTCAGTCATTGAGATCTATGATCAGTCTCGGGCGGTATGTATTTGAACTTGAATTTCTGCATTTCTTCGGTATCTGTGTTTGCAACTTTTGCAGTTTGACTTTTCTAAATTGACGATTGCCATCTGCAGGATAACAAAGACGTCTGGAAACTTGTCCTTGGAAAGCATAATCTCACTTCACCTATTTCTTCATATTCTCGTCCTGAGGTTGTAACAAAGTCGCAATCATATTATTTCACCCATACTGTGAAAAATATTGCAGTAACATCAACAGCGAAGGGCATTACTTCCAAGCAGCTTCTTATCGGCACAATCGGTGATCAGGTTAGCTCAAATCAAATTTCTACGTCCTCACAAAGGTTTCATTTTGGTTTCGTGATTTGTCTGTTCTTTGATACTTCATCCTGTGATGTATACTTGGGATATTTTTGGGTACACACACTGAGACCAACTTACATTTTACAGGTTCTGGCTCTTGATAAGCGTTTTCTAGATCCTCGTCGAACAGTCAATCCCACTCAAGCTGAGAAAGAGGAAGGAATTATACCTCTTACAGATTCATTACCAATCATCCCACAGGTGCATTAACCCTATACCTTTCTCTTCTTTCCGTAATTGTTGCCATGCCATCTCTTGTTATGTCTCCTTACCATCTGAGTGTCGAGTTCTCATCCTTGCTCGTTGGTAGGTGCCTCTCAAATAGAATTGTATAACAAAGGGAATGATTGAGCATAGAGTTCAAATGTTTTAGCTCAGTCTTTGCTTTTGCTTAGCTTTTTCTATGCTCCTTAATATTAAAGGTCACGAGGCTGGAGTTTGATAAGTAATTGTAAGATTTGGAACTCAACTCAACTCAACAAGCTTTGTCCCATTTACTTGGAGCCAGCTACATGGATCTATTTCCTTTAGGCTGTGTTTGAAGTATGGATTTGGATAGGGATTTAGAAAGGAAAAAGAAAAAGTAGGTAAATGGGAATGTAATATAATTACATTTCACTTGCATTTCACACACTTTTTCCCTTTTCCTTTTTAAATCCTTACCCAAATCCATGCTCCAAACAGTCTTAGTCATATCTCCAATTAAGTTTAAGATAGTCACGTACTTCCTCATCTTATTTCCTCAACCCGAATCCTCCGAGGTCGTCATCTGTTTCTTTTACCACCCTTCATGTGTGTCAAATCACACCTGTCCTTAGAACTGTGTTAATAATAGTCAAAATGTGGACGTCAGGTGGTGGTAAAGATTTCAGTTCTTATTTTTGAGCCACAGTACTACATTTTGTGATTTGTTCCTTGTTTGCTAATTATACTGATTGGAGGACTGTTTTGTAGTCTTACGTGACACACGCCCTTAAAGTGGAAGGCCTCAGAGGCATAGTGACAGTCCCTGCAAAGCTAGAGTCAACCACCCTTGTCTTCACATATGGAGTGGATCTCTTCTTTACCCGCCTTGCACCTTCGAGGACCTACGATTCACTTACAGAGGATTTCAGCTACGCTCTACTTCTCATCACAATCGTCGTTCTCCTTGTCGCAATCTTTGTAACGTGGATTTTGTCAGAGAGGAAGGAACTGCAAGAGAAGTGGAGGTGAGTGAAGTCCGCCTTTTGAAGTGTCTTTTGTCCTTTCTAATTTTTCTCAGTCGCGGTACACCTTAACTTTGTTTTCGATCAGGAGCTCTGCTACTAACTAGTAATTTTGCTTAATTTTTGTAGCATCATCTCCTTTTGTGTTATTTTTATTAGATTTTGTTATGGAATGTCTAGGTTTTTAGTGCCTTAATTTTTGTAAAACTCGAAATTTCATAGAAAAAGTTTGCAATGTTCACGAGGTTTGATTGCATCCTGGAAATGGGGTTATCTTTAGTTTAAAGTTTTCATCTTCTTTTAACACCAAATCTTTACGATGATATCTGAAGAAATTTCTTTTATTACTCTTCAGCTTCGGATATATTAACGTTACGGCAACTCTCATCTACTACTGCCGTTCATGAAATCCCTTCCTTATGTATACATCTTGTTATGTTTTTTGTGACAAATTTTATATAATTTTTTAGTAGAGTTATTATAATTTGTGATTTAAAATCAAGTTATTTATTTTGGTAATAATGTTTCGTATTTTTGTGATACATATTTGTAATATTATAACAAAAATGTGAAACTTTATTTTTAAATCATAAATAATGCGTAATAAAAAATATAGTATTTTCTTAAAAAATTGTATAACAATGTGCAAATACCGAGGCGTTCCCTACCGTCCATTCATCCCATCTAATTGGCAGGAACTTGTCATCATACTTCATCTCCATATTTATCTTATGGGCTACAATTTGGGCCCGTGAAGTATAGACACGGATTCATCTCCATATTTATCTTATGGGCTACAATTTGGGCCCGTGAAGTATAGACACGGATATGTGATATAATACGGATATTAGTATTTTCTTAAAAAATTGTATAACAATGTGCAAATACCGAGGCGTTCCCTACCGTCCATTCATCCCATCTAATTGGCAGGAACTTGTCATCATACTTCATCTCCATATTTATCTTATGGGCTACAATTTGGGCCCGTGAAGTATAGACACGGATACGTGACATAATACGGATATATAAATTTTAAAAAAATAAGAGACACGACATGTTGGGAACACGTTCAATATATATAATTAAATTTATTTATTATATGTCATAAAATTATATAAAAAATCATTGAAAGGTAATAAAAAAAATATAAAATAATACAATTAAAATTATTATAAAAATAAAAATAAAAAACATTTCATTGATTTAACAAAACTAATCAGCATAACTTATATAATCAAATAACAATGGTAGAGAGAAGAAAAAATAAAATAAAATCGAAAAAATATAGAAAAAAGAGATAGATGTTACCAAAAAAGTTTTCAAACCTCCCAAAAAAAAAAAAAAAAAAAAAAAAAAAAAAGAGTTCAAGAGGAGAGTAGAAGAGAGAGAGGGCGACTGAGAGAGAGAGAAGATCCGAGAAGAAGAAGATTGAAGGAGTAGAAGAAGAAGATCGAAGTTGTACTTTAGATAACAACAAAAGCAGCGACCATCGACGATCGACCACCGACAAGTGACGATTGACTAGTGAAGAGCGACCAGGTGTGTCCGACAAGCCTTTCTCTCACTCTCTTTTGTTCTCTCTATTTGATTCTAGGTTACAAATTGATCTATTTTTGTCTTTTTACAAATTGACCCCACAGAAGTTTCATAAATCATGAATTTCATCCTGCGGTGTCCCGAACGTGTTCATTACGTGTCCGTTTGCAAAAACTCAAAAAAAAAAAAAAAAACGGACACCTTCTACTGCATGTCCATCGTGTGTTGGACGTGTGTCCGTATCTGATACATGTCTGTGTCCAACACTGATATGCAGCCCTTGGAGAAATGTCCATGCTTTATAGATCTGGGCATACATTAATGATTTAAATGGTTGATCTCATACACTTCACAGTAAAGCTTATTTATGTAAAAAATTAATTGCATCGAATAATTATAAAAATAGATATAAATCACATTTTATTTTATAAAATTTAAGTTTATAATTTATGAATTATTCATTTTATAAAACAAAATATGATTTATTCTTATATTTATAGTTGTCAGATGAATTTGATTTATTATGAGGATAACTTTCACTGTCAGATTTATAAAGTAAATAATTTATATCATTTATGTATGCGAATTGAAACTCACAAAGAGTATGGATAGCAGCTAGTCCCATCTAAGGGGGTGTTTGGGAAGAGGGTTTGGCTAAACTAACTCACTAAAAGATAAAATATATTAAAATAGTTAATAAGATAAAATATTATATCTAACTCATAATCACTTTAATTTTTTTCTCACAATCATTAAATTAGCTATAAAAAAAGGCCAAATGACTTTTCAGACACAGCTATTTTAATTAAATAAAAGTAATCAAAAAGTCAAACAACCGATTAAAATAGCTAACTATCCAAACAAAGCTTAAATTTGAACAAACAAGGGAAGAAATGACCATCTTTTCATTGAGAGTACTTTTTCATTTTAGAAATGTTTGGATCCTCTTTTTTGGGGGATTTTATGAATTTCAATTTGATTTTGGTCCTACGTTTGTATAAGGTCCATTTATGTATGTATAGGTCTCACATTATGAGTGATTGGGATAAGAGTGGAGGTAGTGAGATATGTATGCGTGGAGATATCTATCACAATTATTTTCAATTCGCAAATAAATAATTCCCAGGAGCATGAAGAGAAGGAATAGTACCTAGTCCATCTAAATTTGAGCAAACAATGGAAGAAATGACCATCTTGTTTGATTGGAAGGATTAGAGCATGGGATTGAGATTATTAATTCGCGGACCTAATTATCCTATGTTCGTTTCGACATTTTGTTTTAAGATTATCAATTCAATGGATAATTAATCCAACAAATTTGTAGGATTATTAGTAATGGGGTAAAGGTGAGATTATGAATACCACACTAATTTGATTGGATTATTAATACATCACTATTAATCTTGTGGAATCAGAGTACTATTTGTAGAGAAACATTGTAGTGCATATTTAGCAAACCCTAAAATTTTCAAAAGGAATGAACCATATGAATCTTAAACTAATTTTTTTTTTTTGTATAATTTTAATTTTTTAAATCATAATTAAAAAATATATTATAACTCAATATAATATGAGGCATAATTAAAAAATTTATAAATCATAGCTAAAATAATATTATAATTAAAAAATAATTAATCATAGCTAAAAATATATATAATTAGAGTAGATATGATATACTATTTAAAAAAATAATAATACTTGAGACCTCTAAAAACACACCTCTAAACGCACTTCTAATGAGGTGAAAAAGAGAAAAAAAAAATAAAAATCAAGACACATGACTAACAGTGGCAGTGGGTGGGATCCACTGCCACATCACTAGTGGTACCTCTAAATTAGTGGTTCCAAGCATTTTTCATTAGTAGAAAGTAATAAAATGGGGTTCAGTTAGGTGTATTACAAAAAAGGGACAATTACTTGACAGTTGAGGTAGAAAACAAAAATTCCAAATTAATAAAAAATTATAATATTAATTATTAATTTTTATAATATTTTTCACTTGTTGATAAATAAGTTTCACTGGTACAATGTTAGTTCTCCCTTAAAAAAATTGTTAAATTACGGAATATACAATAGATGGTAAAATGTGTGTTAAGTAAAAGTAAGACTTATTTTAATGTATTCAATTAAAAAAATATATTGTAGTTTTTTTTATACAAGTTGAATTTCTTTTTATATTTTAAACTTTAATTATTTCATATTATATCAGTTTAAATCATTTTTTATGAAAAAATTATTGGCAAATCACACCCAAGGGTCAGTAAAAATTAATTATAAATAAGTAGTAAATATTAATAATTAACCTTCGTTTAGAAGGATTTATTTTTGTCTAATTTTTAATTTTTTATAATTGTTTTAGTTTGGTTAAAAAAAATTGGGGGACTTATTTATAAGTCTTTTTTCAGATACTTATAGTAGGATAAATCTTGTGTAATTTCTTATAGAGTTTCAAGTCCTATTTAGATAGGAATGTATTCCACAAGATCCTACATAAACGTAACGTCGCGTGACACTTACATAAACGTAACGTAATGTGACACCTATATAAACGTAACGTAACGTAACGTAACGTGACACCTATATAAATGTAACGTAACGTGTCACGTTACGTTTCGCAAACTTAATAAGTTTTTATTTTTTTAAATTAAATGTGAAAATGTTGATAGTTTATATTGGTGTCACATTACGTTTCATATGAATATGATCTATGAAAACATTCAATTTTCTAAATAGGAAATTGAATGTTGCCATAGATCATAGGTGTCACGTTACGTTTATGTAGGTGTTACGTTATGTTACTGAGAGGGTAATTTATAAATAAGTAACAGGCTTCTTTGGAAGTCGAGTTGCACAACGGACCGAGGTAGGAGCTGTTATAGCTCGGTCCATAAAACTAATGAGCTTGGGCCAGATAACGTATGTGCCGAGCTATGAACCGGGGTGTTTGTACTTTACAAATTGGACCTCACATTGTTAGCTCGGTTGATTATTGCCACAGATTAGCTCGGTCTAAACAAGCAAAACCGAAGTACCAGAGAATCAGAGCCGAGCTATGTGTTGCGTATGAAGGCGCTGGATTATGACAATGGGCAAGTGTTAGCTCGGTCATACTGTTATCCACCCGTGGTAAAACCATCTCACTTGATTGAAGCAGTGAGGAGAGTGTTAAAGGATAAGCATTATCCTTCAGAAGTGTGATTCCTAGGAGGACTCTACATGGACGAATAAGAGCCCTACTAGGATTATGCCAAGCAAAAACTATAAAAGCTCTCAACAGAACCTATGTACAGGTAACACAACTTTGATTCCCGAATACACAGAGCTTTTGTCACGACCCGCACCCGCCCCTATGGGTTAAAGCCATAACTGACCAGTAATCACGAGATTACCTACGGCCTCAAACCAAACGAGACAAAACTCATCAGAGTAAAGGGACCAAATGTAAGCAAATTTAAAACTTTGTCCATAGAGTCGTGCTTATATGCACATCATAACATTCCATACATACATATGTTAATAACTCACAACAGAAAGTATAGTAACATAAAGTTCTATACAGACAGGATCATTCAAATCTAAGTCAGCCAAAACAAAGCTATATACAGATGCACACCAAAGTCCTCGCCAACATGACAAAATAACATAGAATGGCGGAAGGGCGAAGACGTGTCTCGTGCATGAGACGCAAAGGCTGACTCTTCAAAACCTTAGTTGTTCCATACAGACTTCACTGGGGCTGGGTTCGAACTT